ATTAGACTTCAAAGAATGTCCATTCTCTGTTTAAATGAAATTAAATAAAATAAAAGATGAGAAAAGAAACCTTCACTGGGAACGCAAATTAAACACCTGAAGAATCTTCTGCCATTTGATGCTCTTTCTTTTAGAAAGAACAGGCCTGAATTTAGATTATTGTTCTCAGTGATTACACACTCTCAAACTCTGGGACCATGAGAAACTTGCTTCTGCTGGTGCAAACTGGCTACGTCCATGCAAAGGCTCTTATTCGCCATGGCTCCCCATTCACCCGCCAAACGGAGCAGCAGTTTACCCAGCAAGCAATCTGGCCTTTGATACACACACGTGGCGCTCACCGAGGTGCATAAGCATCATACCTACAGGATTCTGCCACTGATTTACCAATTTCCCTGAAATTCCAACACCCTCCACATTCAGAAGAGGTGTTGGTCTCCAGACAGGGGCTTTCTACAGCTGAGAGAAGCACTGGATCGCTCACTCCAGAGGCTCCCAGTTGCTTCCTTCGGGAATTCAGGGAGGGTCTGGTCTAACCAGTGGGTAGAGTTCAGTACTGAGCCAAGGCAGTCAGACCCACTGGGTGGGAGAAGCAGCATCACCAGGGAAATACACACCTTCTGAAAATTAACTCCTTGCGCCCAGGAGCAGTTCTTGGGGTTTGGAACATCTTCCCAAAACAGTTTCTTCATTCTGAAATAACAGAAATATCTGGAGTTGGTACCATTCTCATCTAGTCTGTACTGCTGTCATGCACCTTTGCCATGTCAGAAAAGGAATCTGTGCGATTTTGTTTAGCCAGAACACTATGGCAATGAAACAATCATTTTAGATACTATAGATGGCCAAAATATAGGAAAAAAAAATAAAGAAGTGACATACCAGGTGGTAGTTGTGCAAAATATAAAAGGTGCAGACAGCCTCTGCTGAATATGACCCCAACCCACCTTCCACAAAATTCAGAGGGATTTTTTCAATTGGCTTTTACTTCAGACCTGAGCTTGTGATGACAATTAAAGATGGAACTCAGAGTGCTTTACAAATTCAAAGGACATGACACCACTCATTAACTTGCCCACAAATCACTTTGCATACATAAGGAGTCCGTGGTACAGGCTGAAGGGACAGTTCCCAGTGAAAACGAACAGCACTGATCATCATCTTCCGGCGAGGACACCAGATCCGACAGGGCAACGGCCTGACTTTCACACGGTAACAAGCCTGTGCAGTCAAGACACTTTAATTCGTGGCACTGTATTCCACAGAGGCCGCTGCCTTTCAGTATGTACATCACAGATACAATAAAAACAATTCCTAACTTTCCCAGAAAGACCTTGCCCAGCAGTTCAGCAGACAGGCACTGTCTAAGCTGCATCACCTTCCTCTAAAGCCCTCCTGGGACTTCATGTGACAACAAACAACTCACCTTTGGTGCGAAACCAGCAATCCTCCAAGCAACATAACTGAGCTTGAAATAACTATTGGCAGAACCATGTAGATGCTGGCATTGTTCTCATTTTCATATCCACCTGGAAATAAAAGGAATTCAGATAATAATGGAGTAAAATGATTGGTCTGTGAACAAATAAGTTTGCAATAGAGAAACAACAAACAGTATGAACAACAGCTTAAACACAAAACACCTAGATAAACAGTTTCATTGCACATCAACAAACTTTTACCTTGAGAACAGACAAACAGGAAGGAATTATTTTAAATACTGAGGGGACTCCTCCGTCCCTGTGGGATGGGGCCCACTGCTCCCTTGAGATGGGGAAATAAATCAGAGTGTATGAAATAAGAGGACAGTCCACCATCGGAGAATGAAGAATCACAGGGATCCAGGATCTCAGCTCTGAAGTTAGGTGTATGGGAATTCAGGTCCCTCACTCAATTAATACCACGAAGTTTTCAAAGTAAAGCAACTGCAGTCTAGATCACCGTTTACAGTTATATTACAATTACTTTATTACTGCCATTTTTTTTCTGGTAAGATCCAGACTTTTCCTGCATTTAAAGTTTACTTTTACAAGCTGCTATTTCAAAAACAACATGGAGAAGGATGCTGTAAGTCACCTTTGGTAAACTGATCCGTTGTTCTGGGTTTGCCGACTCCTCCAGCAAACACGGGGTACAGGCTGAACTGGTACTTCTCAATCAGAATAAAGTGATCTGGAAAGAGGAAACCAGACTTTTGAATCAAAACTATTATCCTTCTTTTAAACAATTACCTCCACTGAGGCTCTGGTCACATATCAGAGTTCAGATCAGCCCAGAGAGGGGAATAATGAAAGCTATCTTTCATCTTACATATTTTAATATCAGAAGATTAAAACTATTAATCTCTACTGGATATTCTAGCATTATTCTGTCATGGAATTAACACCTTTATGCAGCTATTGTAAAAAATTCTAAGATTAAAGCCCAAATGCAAATAGAATGTACTTAGCTGGTGTACTTAGTATTCCAGAACTAATCTCATTGGATTGCCCGAAAAATGAACACACTCCTGAGCTTCATTCTTTGTTAACCTGATTATTAATGCACCAGTCAATCCTTTACAGTCAGTCCTCTAATGAGAACCAAGAATTTCGCCACTGGTCCTTACCAGAAAAGCCATCAGGAACAGAAAGGGGGAAAAAAGCAATCTGAGAGCTCAGTCAATGCTACACTTTTCTGCTCCATAACAATTAACATGAGGTATTATATTTTCAAGCACACACTCACCATAAATATAATATTTACTGATATTTGGAGGAACTCGCACCCATTTCATCTCCTCTTCTTTGTTAAGGTTCTTCCATTCAATAACAAAAGACGTGATCACATGGATTTGAGGTGAAAGCGTCCAAATCAAAATCACACAAGTGCTGTTCACTGGGTAGGCGGTAAGCGACTGGACAACATTCACTGGCAGAAGAAAGAGAAAACACCTGAGAACTACACGAGCTCAGAGGTGAGAACAGAGCTGGGTTAGCAGGAGAGCTGTACACTACAAGCTACATGCTTGAAATGCTTTAAAAATTGCATTAAAGCAGGAAAGTTTCAAGAATAGAGAGCAGCAATGTTTCCATGGTATTTGCATATGAATATTACACAATTGGAAGCATTCAAAAGCAGTAGCCTTGATTTTATTAATAAAGCAGAGTACAGCTGAGTCAATGAAGCGGAAGCTTAGGAATTAAAGCCAAACCTCTGAAAACTATGTACTCTGGCAGCCCGTCAGGTGAGCAGCCAGAGAAACAAGACCATATTTCATTTTGGAAACGACAAAGGAATGCTGGGTGTTCCCAAGACAAAGCAGATGAAAGATCAGTTCTACAGTAACATTTTCTTTTTCTTTGATTAATTATGTTATATTCTGTTAGCAAAGGGAAGACAGCCCAGTTAAAGACAACTCTTTTCCCAACCCAAGGATCATTAAGATTTTAATGCAGTGGAAATTTTGCTTTTCAAATAGCTCCATTGGTGAGATACAGACTCTGTTTCCCATATACAGCTGAAGGTATCATCATAAAACATTTTTTATTCTAAAAAAGGGAATTTTATCACAAAGAAGGCTTTGTGCAAAAGCATCACAAGGATTCCTCACATTTTCCACATCGCAAAATGGTTACTAATTAGTGTTCTTACCTGTGCTCATTTGCTGCGAGAGAGTTAAATTAAAATTAATTGAAGAAACTCCAACTGAATTCATGGCTAAAACGGTAACGGTGTGTGTGTGTTCAGTCCACAGAAATGACCAGGTAGTGCCATTATCAACATATTCCGACCACGTGGTGTTTCCTGCTGTCTGGTGCGTTATAACGTATCGGCTCACGCTGCACAATGAGTGATTCTTCATCAGTGGCTGCAGCAAACATTGGCATTAATTAATTTCCCAGTCTTGAATTTCAAAAGCAAATTATATTTAGGCAGAAGGCTCTGTTCCAGTCTTAGGAAAACATGACCCTTTCTATAGACTGGGTACTGTCCTTTTAGCAAAGGCACTGTATCCCATTTAAAGACTTAATTTCTTCCGTCTCTCCCTCCGAGACCTGACACACTATCTTTCCAGCGAAGTGAGGGCAGGGGGGATAAGGAAATACAAACTTTCAGACTCCTGTAGTAACTCACTGGTTTCTGGCAGTATTTTTCAGGATTGAAAAACCAGAACAGATGACTGTTTGCATACTAAACATGGGCAAACAGGAGCAGGCAGGCGCCGATGTAGTTTTTTTCCTCTGTCCTGCATTAACCTTTTAACGCAGCTCTGCCCAGTGTACATGGATTTACAGCGGTGTTTATACAGGCAGCTGTCTGCGAGTCAGTGGCACATCCTGCTCAGAGATTTTGGTCAGCAGAACTTGGCAGCTGAAGATTGCAGCTCATTATAACTTACAGTCTTCGATTCCATGTTATTCTTTTTTCTGAGTATTAGAACAAATTGCATTTTGAGTCTCTGCTTCATAGCATTTGTATAACTAACGCTGAAAGTGTAGGCTGACATGAGCATGTCACACAGCATCGACACCTCAGCTGAGTTAGGACAAGTCACACAGCAGGTCTGCTCTCTGCAAAGAAGCTTGCAGCCTGCTCAGAAATCTGAGGACTCTCCTAAATAGTGAGGACTACACTGGGATGTTCCACGCGGCTGCAATGCAGCCCCACGTGCAGTTCAGCGTGGCTGTGGTGCGTGAGACTGGATCTGTGCAAGAACAATTTGACCAGGACCTCAGATGGGTCCACAGTACAAGGATCAGCTCACTTCAGAAGGCTGGCCTGGGAGCTTCCCACGCCTGCAAACACGCCTGCTGCCAGGGCACGTCTGTGCCGAGCCTCACCTGCCTCGCAACCATCTGGAGCAACCCCACAGCACTGGGAAAGTTTTTGTCCTACTACATTGCTATAAGCTTGGTAATGATTAGGGTAGAAAAACAACTTGACATGTGCCAGCTAGCTGCAGGAAAGATTAAAGAGAATAAAACAGAAAGGGAGGGGGGAGGAAGTGACAGCAACAGAAGGGGAGTAAAGTGCAAGGCAGGCTGACTGAGCAAAGGCAAAACCATCTCCCGTTGTACCACAGTATTACAACCAATATTCACCAGCAGCCTCCACTTGCCTCTAGCATCAGCCAAGCAAGAGGCAGTGACACAGAAGTCCCATCCCAAGAGCCTTCCACACCAAGTCCCAGAAACAGTGACCACCCAAGTTTGCCTCCCAGGGAATCCTGTGCTTATCATACCACTTTTTTTGGTGATTCTACCAACGGTTTTTGGATCAGTGTGAAAGACCAAAATGTAATTGTTCTCACCTTCCACAGGAGCGTAACATTCTTCTGCCTCCTTGACGGATCTTCAATAATAGTTCTCCAAAATTCAGGGCCGTGTAAGGGAGCTGCAAGATTACATGGTTTTGAAAGAAGTGTCACACCTCAGTCTGAAATTGGGCAGAGCAGCAGAGTGGAGTCTGAAAGCACCTATACCTCTGATATCTTTTACAAGCGTATAGGCTGATCTGCTCCAGTTGCTCCAGGAACCTGAGCCATCCAGTTCTCTGCACCGGATCTGAACAATGTACTCAACGCAAAGCTTGTGAACTTTTATCACAGCTGATCTTGTTGGTGCATTTGAAACTTCATACATCTGTAACAGAAGTCAAAACATTAAAAATAAGAACAAAAGGCTGTTTAAGCATCTGTTATAATCAAAACTCCTGAAAATGAATCCGATGAGAAAGTGGCCTCATCGGTAATATTCCTTTGCTAGATAACGGAAATGTTTATAACCGTGATTCATTGCATGCCAGGAATTCCACAAAAACCAGCTAAGACACTAGATGACAACACTGCAGAAATTCATGCTCCAATCTAGATCAAAAAAAGACAGTGTACCTCCCATGTAATTTCTTCCCTGTTCACAGCATACCGAATTTGAAATTTAAGATCATTGATTGCAAATATTGGGTTTGTCCAGCTCACATTCAGCAGCCCAACATTCCTGGTGATTTCTGCTTTAACGTTGGAGGGAGGAAGTGGCTTCACTAGAAAATTGAAAGAAAAAAAAAAAAGACTATAATGTCTGCACTGACATTTCTCATTACATCCAGCCATCATGGTTTGCTTTCTTCTGTCCTGAGGGTGGCAGGTAAAACATTTTGGCCTCTGCTATTCCAAGTAAAGCTGGACTACAATGCAAACATATCAATTCACAAATCCAGGCTGTCTGGCTGCTTCACTGCAGACAAAAGCATCGCAGACTGAGAAAGGCAGTGTTTGTCTAACGGGAAATTCCTTCCAATTTTCACCCAAACTAAAATCACCAAAGAAAATATTAAGTTGAAATAAAAAAAAAAATCAATGTTTCTTACAGAATAAACATTTTATTAAAAAAAAAAATCCATGGGCAAGCTTCAGTATGTTTCATTTTAATTTAAACCACAATAGCTTATATTGGTGCTAGCACCTGGTACCCCTGGTACAAACAGCACAAGATACAGCCGGGCACCAACGGGGTGCACCCCTGTGGACAGCAGCAGCACACATGGCCCAGGAAGGCAGCTCCTATAAAGGACAGTGACAGACTTTATGCAATGATCAATGGAAATATTACATTCATTTTTTATTTCACTAATAGGAAAAGCCACCAAAATTGAGCTTCTCCAGCACACTGAACACAAATATCACAAAGCCCTGGTCTGTGAATCAAGCAAAGTTAGAATGAACTTGTTTTGGTGAGTGAGAAGAAAGCAACAACAAAAAAAAATTAAGTTTTAAATTTTGGGTGGTGCTAGAATGAGTCTGTTTTGGTTGACTATGCTACAGAGTACATCTCATCCAGTGTAGGTCAATTCTGTTCTTCGCTTTTTATTTATGGGATAAACCCAACTTCTGAAGTTGTGCTAGAATTCCTCACTGGGCAGCATCCTATAAAGCCACTACCAAAAGGGCACAGCCAGCCGAGAGCACCGACATGCTTGACACAGACAGCCACCACAGCTGCCATGCTGACTAGGTGCCAGGTCCTTTTGGCACAGTTTTTTAAGCAGCACAAGTGCAGGATCTCCACCTGCCATCCCTCACACCGCCCTCCTTTCTGATGCCCAAAGCTCCCACTAGTTCTCTCATAATCTGTGAACTTGCTTGTCAAAAAGGCACAGACAGCCCTCTTTGAACTAGGCAGGAGCAACCTGGAAAACCACAAGGCCACCAAGTTAATAGTAATAAAAGTAATAATAATTCCCACACCTCGCTTAGCTATAACGCACTGAACTTTGCCTTTCCTTCCTGTGACATTCATTTTTGCTCACTCTATTTAAACTTTGAAATGCAAAGGATAGTTTGGTTTAATTTATGTCCTCTGGATGCATGTGTCCCCACACACACCCCAGATGTGTTTTATTATTCTGCGTTATTTCATGCAGCACTTCTGCGGTCTAGCTGCCATGTTTTCTCTCTACATATGTTCACATTTGTGTCCAAAAAACACTCAGCCCAATGAACGCTCTGAGTCATAGACTAGATAATAAGATGTGCTTTGCACATTTTGCCGTGTTTGAAAACACTCAAACACTGTTCTTGCCTCTTGCTTTTATTAAAATGTAAGTGCTCTATGTGTCACAAAAGAAATTTTGCAAAAAGCACGCAAGAGCATGGACAGTCCCTAGGACTTTAAACAAATATATAACTGTGTAAGTAATACATACAGTGCTGCACTGTATCAAACTATAAACCTAACAACGAAAAAAGTTAGATAACCAAAAACCTTAAAAATGAGGCTGCCTTTTTCAGAATAATACTTGCATTTTCTCTAGATGTCTTTGCAACACACCCAAGAGACTAAACACGCAAAACTGTTTCATATTATAGGTATTAGCTGCAGTTACAATCTGCTCCTGTGCCAAGCAAAATGTATGGAAATAACATTTAATCCAATATCTTTTAGAAGACAATATGAAAGCTCTGATGTTTTTTTATGTTCTTTCCACCATCTTGTTTATTGAAAATGCTGTGAAGAAGTACTTTACCTATACCATATACGGAATGAAATCCAAGGTCACAAGTGAAGAAAGACGTGCACAAATCTCGACCTACCCACATCTGCTGGAATGACACAAGTTGGTGAGGATTCAAGAGTTCCTAGTACGTGCTTAAACTCTATCCACATGGTATATCCAGATAGAAGAAAAATAGGCTGAAATGTGCACTCGTAAGAGTGATTCTTCTGTAAATGGCATTCTTTCACCTCTGATTTTGGAGAAGTACTTGGAAAGTCAGAACAATAAATTCTGCTCCTTAAAAGAGAAAAAAAAACCCATTTGGTTAATACATTGCTACTATAAGCTGCTCATGGCATCAGTAAAATAGAACTCTGAAGCAAATTAAAACAAATGGTGTCACTGGAACCATCTGGGGTTTTTTGATGATTATTTGGACACATCTTGAACTTGAATCTGTACTAAACAGACAAATAACACTGCAGTGTTACTCCTCAAAGCTTTGGCTCGCAGCCTGAAAAAACAGGACATGAAGGCTCTCCCCCATCCAAAATCTTTTGATAAGAGACTAACAGCAGGAAGAAACAGGTACGACAAGAGCAGGTATCCCCAAATACTCATAAATCATGTTACTTAAGTGATATCTACTAGCAATAAACAAAGCAAGGCAGATCTCCAGCCAAGAATTTACTCCAGCCGGGAATATGACTTTCAAAATACCAGCTGGCATCCAGGGCAAAGCTGCCACAGGGACCAGAGATGTACAGTGAAGCCACCAGGAGATGGAAATACCACAAAAATATCAGTTCTGGAGGGTGGTATTAAAATCCCATGTACAGTCAGTATCATGTCTGGCAACAAAAGAGAGGAGACCTGGACTCTGGGTGAAACAGCACTGGACATCTTATCAGTGACGGAAAGGAAAAGTTTTCCAGTTTCTCCTAATTTCTCCTATTGTGGAGACTTGTGGTGAGAGTGGCCAGATAGGGTGTTGGTTATTCAGCTGAATCACAAAAGTTACACTCAGCTGAATCTCTCCTCTTCCTGTCAACATAGCTGATACTGATTACGCTGGTGCCTGTGCTTTGAGGCAGTAGCTTAGCACTCTCTGTTTTTACCGGATGATCATTTCTGTGCTGTTTCTGTTGGCAGCACTGCCTGTAGAGGAAGACAGTGTAACAACCCAACGAAAACAAAACACCAACAGCAAACTATCGCACCGCATTAGTGTAGAGCATTGGATTTCAGCTGTAAAATGCAATTGCATCAGTAACTAAGAAGAGCTGCATGCTCCTGGGAAACCTGACGTGCCTGATGTCGATGCAGCACATCTAGGTTCCAACTTTCATACCTACCTATGTGTAAGCAAATACTAGCGACTCCAACATATTTATGGTGCCTCTTACAATCAAGCTTGGGCAATTAAAACCACTGACCATTTTAGTTGGTTTCAAGCGAGTTCATTTTGTATTTTTGTTCCCAATATGCAATAGAATCTTATGCAAATGTGTTTTCATAACTATAAATTTTTAAACATCTTATACTGCAGTTTTTTGGTAGTCAGTACATTGATGTGGTCCTCCATTATTTCCTCCCTTTCAGACTTTACTACTAGCAAGCCAAAAAAAAAAAGAATAACAAGAAAGATCACAATAAATACTAGGATGTGGGAAGCATTTTCAGCCTGTATGAATGTTCACTGTTTGATCTAGCAGGAACACTACAACACATGTACGGATTATCACTTCATATTAGAAACCAGCATTTTTAGCAACTTCAACAGTGAAAAAGTGGGAATAAAAAACATGGCAAGAGCAGCATGGTTTTTATTTCACAGTCCCTGCTCAGCGGGACACTCATTATATTCATATCTGTGAAGAAGGCTGAAACAAAACCTACCTTAGCAGTCAGCTAGTCGCTAATCTTGCCCCAAAAGCCTCTGATTGAAATCGCAAGCATTCCAGTTCTTACTTGAGTCCACAAAATCCTGAGAAATATTCACCTTGGTACTATGATAGTTCAAAACTTCAATCCACCTCCAACAGAGAAGACAGTCCAGTTTTCCAAGGGATTACGCCCTCAGGGCTGATTTAAATTTATTTGCCAAAACTTTTGCATAACCAGTCGAGCAGAGCAGTAAAACTAAAGATTTCTTCTCAGGAAGGGTTGTCTGTCTGTCTCTCTTGTTTAGGTAAAGACTAATACAGCTCTAGGAAACTCTCAGGCTCAATCTATTAGTAACTCCAAGGGATTTTTTTAGTTTCACAGTAAAACAGGCCCTATTTGTGCACATGAATCAGTTTTGTATTTTGCAAACATTAATGTCCTTGTCCCACACCACACCAAGTTCTCCTGCTCTGTCACAAAGGCAGACAAAAAAAACCTATCTGAAAACAGGCTAGGTCAAAACACCTGACCAAAACCATGAAAACTAAGAGCTGCTCTAGCCACCAAAGATGCTCTCTTCATAAAGCAATGTTCCCCTTATGAACCCATATTAGATTCTCTCTTTATAAGCAAGAATTTTTCCATCTGAAATGAATTAAGTTCTGTCCCTGCATTTTTATCTACTGTATATAAAAAAAATAT